TAGGCAGATTTGGAAACTTTTTTTTTGAGCTCAACCTTTTATAATCGTGTCATGGGAAGGGCAACATGTGCAGAGACACAAGTCTGGGCCAGTTGCATTGTGGGAATTTACCTTTTTGTTTTTTCATATCCATATTTATCCTTCCTCTTGTGTTAGTGTTGCCACTGACCTGTTTTAGATTTAAAATGTATAAAAGAACCACACAGGGTTAGTTTATTGCATCAAGACTTTTTGACTTTGTCAGGAATCTCTATTTCAACAAAATAATTAAAAAAATATATATATATATTTTTTTTTTTTTTCTAAATTGCTCTGGTTAAAAATATACCCTTTGTGGTGTTGGGGTCGATTTCGACCCGGTTATAAAAATTTGATTAAAATGCAATAATTATAACCAAAACTGAAATCATAAATGCACTGTCAGCCAAAACAGTGATAACCAGCTCCTCTTCCAATAATTTGAGTTTTGGGAGAGTCTCATTTTGTCTTGTTTTCCTGTTTACCTGCACACACAGGCAGTGCTGGGAGTGGCATCCCTGAGAAAAAAAACAAGGAAAACATGTGGTCCTTGATATGAATACTGGACTGCAGGGTCACAATATCACTTGTGACAACTTTTTTACCAGCTATGACCTTGGACAAGAGGTTCTTAGGAGGAAACTTACCATAGTGGGCATGGTAAAGAAAAATAAACCTAAGCTGCCTGTTGAATCTCGCAGGTGAAAGGCAGGGCTTCACTTTCCTCAAGATATACTTTTACAGACACCACCAGTGTGGTCTCCTATTGTCCAAAGGAAAAACAGAGTGTGGTACTTTTGTCTTCTCTCCAAAAAGATGCAGCCGTGTCATCAGGAAAGCCCACAATTATCTCGACTATGACAAAAACAAAGGCAGATTGGACAACCTGGACAAGCTGACCTCACCTACACTTGCCAGCGAATGACCAGAAGATGGCCATGGTTGTGTTCAACAACATGGTTGATGTGTCTGCATATAATGCATTTGTGTTGTGGACCCACATCGATCAAGGGTGGAACTCAAACAAAAAATACAAGCAGAGAATTTTTCTTGAGGACCTGGGAAATTCAGGGTGCATGCTGAGCAAAGAGAGAGGGTGTCCTGAGATCCAGAAGGCCTTAAGGCCTTGTTCAGACAACTGTGGAGCTCCCCTAGCTCCATCCACACCAGCATCCTCCTCAGCCAGCCTAACCCTAACACCAGCCACAACAACCACAGCCACAACCCCACTCAATTCACCTGACTGTAAAAGGAAGAGGTGTCAGGTTTGCTCAAGTAGTAATAGTAGTTGATAATGAAGTTCAGTTGTTAAAAAAAATACCTTTTTAGCCTCTTTCTCATTGTAAGTATATACGGGTCAAAATTGACCCCTAACACACATTAGAGATGTGTTCTAATACCCCTCAGTAGAGGGGTATACTGACAAAAATAGGAGCTGAAGCCCCCACCAAAGACATTAAAACCAACATTTTCATGGAAAAGGAAGCCTAACAAGGTAACCAAGAGATGAGAAACAAATTTGATGATAGATAATTACTTTAAGTGTATTTTACAGCTGATTTTAGAACACGGGTCAAAACCGACCCGTTAACACAATAGATGGTGATGGAAAGCTAACACAGGAGGAAGGTTAAGCAGCAGAAGAGGCTGGATATAGACATTTTAGATGCTACAGGTTTTTTACACCATATGTGGCAGAAGATCTTCAGAGGAAACTCTTTGAGGGAATGGACCATTTCATCACCGCCCCCTGGAGGCTGCTGAGATGCTGCAGGACAAAGAGGAGACACTTTTGTCTCTTCCTCTCCTCAACCTGCCCTGACACAGATGAGCTGACCCTCCCTGATGAGTCCTCCTGCGAAACTGACCTGAGACTGAGACACAAACGCTCTGAGACACGCAGTGGAAATGTTTCAGCAACATCAACTGCAACAGTTTACTGCAGCAAAACTTGAATTTCACTCAGGACTAATAAAGTATCTGTCTGTCAGTGTCATACACATTAGTCAAAGAAAACAATCACTTTGAAATCACATAACATGCATATAATATAAGACTAAGCACAGTACAGGAGCAGACAGAAGCAGGCAGGATTCCTTTGTAATTATCTTGTTAAAATGTAAATGATGTTTGTGAACTGAGTGAACCTGAGAGCGTTGTGTTTGTTCTCCCTCTCTCCTCCCTCTCCTTCTCTTGCTCCCACACTCGCTCAGTCAGTCAGTCAGTCTCTCGTCATGGGGGTGAACATACCTGGAGTGATTGCTATGGTGTTTTTTTACCTGCTGGTTCTTGGGACGGGCATCTGGGCTTCTTTCAAATCTAGAAGGGAACAGAAGAAAAATGCAGTGTCTGAAATCGAGATGACTCTCCTGGGGAACCGTGGCATTGGCCTGGTGGTGGGCATCTTCACCATGACAGGTTGGTTGGAAAACTTGTTTGGACAAACCTTTTCATTTATGCTTCTTCTTTATTTCTAAAATTATTCACATTGAACATTCTCACTGAAAGCATCAAATCTATGAATGTCCCTTTTTTTTCTCACAAAGCCTCAGGTCTGTGTCATATCTCCACTCTCTGTGCCAAACGTTTGCTTTTGTGTTTCTGATGTCAGTCGATGACGTCTGTAACAAGTCGAGGAGAGGGGGAGTGTGAGTGAAGGTGAGACAGTGTGAGTGTGAGGTGAGAGAGGGGGGTGAGTGAGAACAGTTACATACATAACTCTCATTCACAAACTAAGGAGAATCCATCTTGGCCGCCTACAGGTGTCCACACTTCAAACTCTGCCTCTACAGCAGCTGTGAGAGTTTAACACTTGCAAGCAAACATAAGCATAATTATGTTTCTGAAATGCTTCCAGATCTGCTGTGGATCTGTGGTTCAGTATAAGTTCCAATGTTCAAACTGCAAAGTGTGTTTAGATCCTCATAGCCCTAAACGCACTTTTAAGATTTCAACTAAAATTAATAAATAAAACATCATTAAATGTTCCATTACATTTAAGATGTCCTTTTGTTTTCCCACAGCCACGTGGGTTGGTGGAGGCTTCATAGTGGGCATAACTGAGATGGTGTACACCCCCTCTATGGGTCTGACCTCGGCCCTCCCTATGTTAGCCGCCTACGCTGTCTCATTTCTACTCTGTAAGTATTCACGTCATTTTACTCTTGTAAACTTGTAAACTCAAAACAGTGTGAGTGTGAGACTCTTATCTTTTGTGTATTATATAAAGACTACGGCATCAATACTTCATTTATGACTCAACTCGAGGGAAACTCATTCTCCCCTTTGTCATCAATACTACCAGAGTCGGTCTGTAGCATAGCCAGTATAGGCAAAGGCTAAGGGTGGACTGTGACGGGGG